AGGAACGGGGCCCGTCAATACACAAACTAGACGACAGCGATGGTTTTATTGTCATCAACGCGAATGAAACGTGACTCGTCAACAAACAACACCAGAGAATCAAGAGGTGGTGTAGCCGATCTTAGCACAGTCACTAGGTGTGGCGGTGTAGACCTTATCTTTAAGACCTCCACTGAATCTCCAGCACCAAGGGGTCGTGACCCACAAAGGAGTGAACGGGGCTGGTGAGGTCCTTCGTGTTCACAGGAGAAGACTGTTCTCCCTCCAGAGCTGAAGAACCATCACAGGGACCAGGCCGCTGGAGAAGGGCTGGAGACAGACAACGCACACTCTGAATACACTCAAACAAACACACAAATGACCCTAACCCGGGAGACAGACAACGCACACTCGGAATACACACAAACAAACACACAAATGACCCTAACCCTGGAGACAGACAACGCACACTCTGAATACACACAAACAAACAAACAAATGACCCTAACCCTGGAGACAGACAACGCACACTCTGAATACACACAAACAAACACACAAATGACCCTAACCCTGGAGACAGACAACGCACACTCTGAATACACACAAACAAACAAATGAAGAGGATTCATCAGTAACTTGTGTTGCAAGTATGTTGAAGTTGGTTTAACGTTGTTTACTCATGTTTAAGGTTGTTTAAGGCAGCTTTAGATGGTTTAAACTGGTTTAAGCTTGTTTATATGTTTCAGAGTTGTTTAAGCTGGTTTAAGCTTGTTTATATGTTTCAGAGTTGTTTAAACTGGTTTAAGCTTGTTTATATGTTTCAGAGTTGTTTAAACTGGTTTAAGCTTGTTTATATGTTTCAGAGTTGTTTAAGCTGGTTTAAGCTTGTTTATATGTTTCAGAGTTGTTTAAGCTGGTTTAAGCTTGTTTATATGTTTCAGAGTTGTTTAAGCTGGTTTAAGCTTGTTTATATGTTTCAGAGTTGTTTAAGCTGGTTTAAGCTTCTTTATATGTTTCAGAGTTGTTTAAACTGGTTTAAGCTTCTTTATATGTTTCAGAGTTGTTTAAACTGGTTTAAGCTTCTTTATATGTTTCAGAGTTGTTTAAACTCCTTTACGCTTGTTTATACGTTTCAGGTTGTTTAAACTGGTTTAAGCTTGTTTATACGTTTCAGGTTGTTTAAACTGGTTTAAGCTTGTTTATATGTTTCAGGTTGTTTAGACCTTGTAGTGACTACCCGTGTTTAAAGTATAATAACTCTGGAACAACGGAACCCCGGTGAGTGCTTGATGTGTCCAAATCAGTTATATATGTTACTGGTGAAGAAATCAATGTTACGCACAAAAAAAGAGATTGCGATGGACATGGCGGTAGGTGCATAACATCAGACAGGAGGACAACAAGACAAATAAAATAACATGTTCAAATTACAAATTTACAATTCAACTCAACAGAATAAAACATAAGGCGACGGAGGGATGTAGAACCAACTGTTCTCTACACACGGTGGAGTGAGTGGAGTGTGTTGAACCTTGGTGTTGCGTTTGAGACTCACCGTGTATCGGGCCTTCCACACTGGAACCTGACAGGACAGAATGTTCAGGTACTTTCTGGGCTGTCGGAAATCCCAGAACTGAAAACACAGAGCAGCATCTTCACACAATAGTTCAATAGTATTATTGGAAATCCACGATGCTCCTTTTTGCTCTGTGACCTCCATGGTGCGTTTGCTTTGCTCACCCTCACAGAGTTGTCCTGGCTGGACGTGGCGAGGATGAACTCGTTGTCGGGGTGCCAGTCGAGGCCATGAATCTTTGACAGGTGAGCCGCCAGGTACTCTGCCGCAGTGTTGGGTTTCTGCGTGAGAGGACAACACACACGTTACACCGGATCCTTTAGGACCTACGTTTTCAACTCGTGGGTCGCAGCCCCGTTTTCAGTGGGTCCCGGATCTGGGCGTGTGCCATTCATTTCCATTGTCTTTAACAGGTGGCGTGAAGGAGGGGGGGATTTTTAGGATAATGAAATTGACTAGCCTATGGAATATAATATATAATGATATATTCTATATAATGCAGTGCAGGAACTTACACATATATTTTATTGAGGATTTATCAAATAACCTTTTTAAGCATTTTTGAATTGATGCTATTGATTGACAGAAGTAAGCCCCTCCCAGCTGTGGAGCAGCAGCGTGATGAGCGAGAGCATTAAAACGCCTCCTTCATCCAGCTCCTCAGCTCTGGTTCTGAACACCAACCAGAGGAGCTCGCTGGACCTCATGTGGCCGTCTCAAGGACAACTCAGGAGCAAAAAGAAACTCCAGTTCTCCCAAATTCATTTTTCTTACTTCATTTGAGTCTTTTTTTATTTCATGTCCATAAATGTATAAAAGGCTGAAGTTGCTGAATTGTTGAAATGTTGTGTTACCTTGTGTCCTCAAGCGTTACTGTTGGTTTGAATTAAAATGCAGCTATTGGAATGTAAAAGAGAATATTTGGGGTCGTTGTGGCGCAGGGGTACAGAGGGTGCTGCCCCGTGTCGAAGTGCCCCTGAGCAAGACACCTGACCCCTAACTGCATTGCTAAAATGTAACGTAAGTCGCTTTGGATCAAGGCGTCAGCTAAATGACCTGTGATGTAATATTTGCCTCTGTAGCATCATCGCTTTGCTATTAGAACATACTGTGATGTTCTAAATGTTTTCATGAAATACATTTGAGTTGAAAACATTACTGGATTTGGGTCGCGGTTTTCATTAAAATGTGATAAAGTTCTGAAAACCTTGACCAGGGTCTTATTTTCCTTCACTGCGACATCCATCAGGAATCCCCGTGTCTGTATTTCAGCTTAATCGTGTCGTGAATCCAGTTTCATCAGAGGAAGGGGACTTCAGTCACTTCAGTACGTTCCTGGAGGACACTGATGCGGATCACCAGGACTCACCAGGACTCACCAGGACTTGCTGAACCACCCTCGTGTCCGCTGGTGAAATTTGGGGAAAGTGTCCCTGCAGGACTTCAATTCAATTCAATTCATTTTATTTTGTATAGCCCATAATCGCAAATGACAAATTTGCCTCAGAGGGCTTTACAGTCTGTACACATACGACATCCTCTGCCCCGATGTTGACTTGTTCGCTTCCAGGTCCCTGAAGCAGCTAGAAAGATGGTAGCCGACCCCTCTCACCCCGGACAAAACCTGTTTGTGCCCCTTCCATCGGGCAGGAGGCTGAGGTCCATCAGGACTAAGACCTCCTCAACAGAGCCGGACCCCCACTGACTGACTCTGACATCCCACCGCTCACTTTCTTCACTACGCTCACAACGCCGTGTACAGAACAGTTGGTTCGACATCCCTCTGTAGAATTTCATTCCGTTGAGTTGAATTGTAAATTTGTAATTTGTCATGTTCCTTTGTCTTGTTGTCCTCCTGTCTGTCTGACAATTCCGTGTATGTCTGACATATTTTGGTAATAAATGGTCCTGATTCCTGATTTAGAGCCTTCAGATCCTTTAAAGTTGGGTTTTTTAATTTAAAGTGCTGACTCACAGGGTGTGATTTATAAATATATGATTTACTGGCAGCCCAGCTGTAATAGTCATTCAATATTACCCTGCAGGCCAAAGAGAATCCCAGATCTTCAGGACCTTCAGCAGTTTCAAACTCACCCTTTTGTCCCAGATCCGAACGTCTCCATCGTGGCTGGAGGCCAGCAGATTTTGGTTCTTTCTGTTCCACTTCACCTGAGAGGCTCCAGCTGGAAGAGAAGATGATCGAACGGGTTGAACTATTAATGAACAGAATAGACCCTAAATGATGAAGATGAAGAAGACTTACCAACAGCAGACAGAGCCACAGTGGGTTTACGAGTGTCTCTGTGGAGTCCACAAAGACCTCATTAGTGCAGAACAAGGACAGACAACATGATAGAGAGAGATACACACCATTAATCCCCAGGGGGTATTTGTGTTTAGCAGCAGCAATACAAGAAAAGAGCAGAACATTAAAGTGGAATAGAAGTATGTACAGTGGGGGGGAGTAGGACTAAAGCCTAGTTTATGCTGCTGCGTTTTCAGAGCGACGCAAAGACACGCAAGGGACACGCAAGAGTCCCTTGCGTGTCCCTTGCGTGTCTTTTCACACCTCCTTGCGTGTAAAGCTTTGCAGCGTCCTGCAGCAGCAGGCTGTCATTGGTCTCTGACTACGTCCTTTACGGAGTCTCACGTCTCCGTTTTCACAGCACAATACGGCCGTTATTAAAAGGAAGAACATTGACGAGAGAACGGATCAGATTGAAGAGCTTTTAAATATGAGCGCTTGTACAAGCCGTCATTGGCGGACTATGAGGACGCCGGATGGCCTCTGATTCATGGAGGGAGATCTCCACCAACGAGGGGAACAAAGTCGTGGAGGAAAATACGGGACAAATGTGTCCTTGATGAAAAGCAGCAGTGTGGATACACGGGGCAATAAAGTCTATGATCAATAAATAAAGCAACCAACGACTTCCACACACAAAGACGTGACTCTCCAGGTCGTCTTCAACAAAACACGTGACTCCACCTGTTGTTCTGGAGGTGAATCGCTCTGCAACACACGCAGGACTTTACAACCAGGAAGTGAAACCAGCGCGTCGACACGACGTAAAGACGCAGAAACACGCGGCGGCTTTAAAGCATGTTTATCTTCTTTATCTGAAAGGCTGCTGGCCCCGATGGGCTCCCCATCCTGCTCAGGAACCGTGCAGCTGACTGACTGACATCTTTAACCTGTCACTGCCTCAGCAGCCGTCCCACCTGCTTTAAAACCACCTCCATCGCACGATGGAGGTGGTTTTAAGGCGCCGAAACACCAAAGCAACAAGCCTCAATGACTCACCCCCACCATCATGAAGTGCTTCGAGAGGCTGGTCCTGGCTCACCTCAAATCCTGTTTGCCACCAACACTGGACACCCTACAGTTTGTCCCATCTCCACGGCAGTTTGGTGATCACAGCGGATCACCAAACTCAGGGATCTGGGCATCAACACCTCCATCAGCATCTGGATACTGGACTTCCTAACCAACAGACCCCAATCTGTCAGGCTAGAGAACCACCTCCTCAACCCTCATCCTCAACACCGGTGTCCCACAGGGCAGCGTGCTGAGCCCCCTCCTCTACTCACTCTTCACCTACCACTGCTGACCTGTATGGTCAAGTTTCAGACGACACACGGTGATTGTCCTCATCAGCAACCCACAAATGAGTCGGCCTACAGGAAAGAGGTCCAGCACTTGGCTGGATGGTACGCAAACCACAACCTGGCACTAAACACCAAGAAGACCAAGGGGCTCATTGTGGACTTCAGGAAAGCCAAAGGTGGCACAAACTCCCCCATCTCAATAAACGCGGCGGAGGTTGAGCGTGTTGCCAGCTTCAAGTTCCTGGGTGTCCACATCTCTGAGGACCTCTCGTGGACCCTCAACACATCGAGCCTGGTCAAGAAGGCTCACCAGGGCCTCTTCTTCCCGAGGAGACTGAAGAAGTCTCATCTGTCCCTTCAGATTCTGGTGAACTTCTACCACTGCACCATCGAGAGCATCCTCACCAACAGCATCACGCTGTGGTACGGCAGTTGCTCTCCAGAGGGTGAAAACTGCCCAACGCATCACTGCTCCCTCACTTCCACCACCGAGACCGTCCAGCTCAAAAGATGTCTGCGGAGGGAAACTCTCACCCCAGACTGTTTGCCCTCCTCCCCTCTGGGAGGCGCTACAGATGTTGTCTAATCTAGAATCTAATCTAAAAAAAGAGAAAAAAATCTTACCTGGTGTCCCAGATGTATATGTAGGTGTCCACTGAGCTGGTGACCAAGAGTTCTGGTTCAAACCAGGACCAGTCCAGATCACTGAGGACACGGACACGCCAGTCAGTACACACATTACAGGTCATTTAGCTGACGCTTTTATCCAAAGCGACTAACATTGCATTTTTAACCCATGCAGCAGTTAGAGGCTGGGGGTCTTGCTCAGGGACACTTTGACATGAGACATGAAGCAGCCAGGGCTCAAACCACCAACCACAGTCATTGCGTTTGATTTAACCCCCTTGTTACCTGATGACCCGGGTGTGTCCCTGCAGAGAGGTGTGAACTTCTCCACAGCCGCCCCTCCAGGAGTACAGATCTACACGCTGGTTACTCTGCAGACACACAAAGGCTTTTATGGCGTGTACTTCAGGAGCCTGTTTCTTTAGTGGTTAAAAGCAGTACTCACAGAGGCAGCAAAGACGTGGGACTCTGACCGGTGAGGGTTCCACTGCACCGTCCCCACGTCCCATTTACTCTGCCGGCCGATCTTACGCGGCGGTTCAGACGGAGCCTCCAGGTTCACCATGTAGAGGAAACGCCGCCTGGAGACATTTCACTAAATACATGTTACATCTGTTCATATGTGGTTCTATCTGATGGTGTTTATATCTGATGGTGTTTATATCTGATGGTGTTTATATCTGATGGTGTTTATATCTGATGGTGTTTATATCTGATGGTGTTTATATCTGATGGTGTTTATATCCGATGGTGTTTATATCCGATGGTGGTTCTATCTGATGGTGGTTCTATCTGATGGTGTTTATATCCGATGGTGGTTCTATCTGATGGTGGTTCTATCTGATGGTGGTTCTATCTGAATGGTTCTTATCTACAGCAAGTTGTAAATTGGCGTATTTGATGAAATCGCACTTTCTTGTTTCTTGTTCTTCTGAGTTTGTGTCCTTATGGTTGAAATGTTCTTATTGTAAGTCGCTTTGGATAAAAGCGTCAGATAAATGACATGTGATGTGATGCGTGTGTGATCACAGTCAGCATTGATGGACTACTTTGTTATTCCAGCTCTTAAACGAATGACGCCACAAAACAGTGATTTGTCTTTGGGGAGTTTTTCTGTGGCGGCGTGAGGGATTTGGGACGCAGGATGTTGCATGTGTGCAGACTGTAAAGCCCTCTGAGGCAGATTTGTAATTTGCAGTTTTGGGCTATACAAAATAAAATTGATTGAATGTGCGTGTCTATGTATAGAAAGACAAGGGTGTATCTGTATACATTTGTGTTAAAAGTGATTGTTTCTGTTTACTGAATTTACCCGGACAGAACGGCGTGTGAGCCCAGACAGTCCACTGACATGGCGGTTGCCTGGAAACACAGAAGAAGAACAAATGAAATAAAGGCCAAGAAGAAGAAGGATGGTATAAATTATTATTCATATTGACTTTAGTCAACAATTCCTATTTTTTTTTTAAACAAGGTCGTGAAATATGGCCTGCACCGTTTTAGTGAAACTTGGAGAATGACAAATTGGCTCGCTAGCGCCCCCTTTTGATTAGCCCCATTACTGACTTTCAGCTAGCTGCATGACATTTGCTTATTTTGTTCTGGAGGTTTTCCACAGAATGTAAACATAATGTCTGCTGCACGTCCTGATTCTCGAGCTGCTGGTAACAGGTAATACGTCTAAAGGTGCGTGAGCCGCTTCTGACGTCACAGAAGTGCACGGCAGCATCATCCAGTCAGTGTGTTTATGGGTTGTGTGTGAATTAAAATTCACATTTTATTAATTAAATATCAATTGGTTTTGTATGTGTTCCTCTCGTCCCACTACTGTGACACTTTAACAACCGTATCGATTGTTCCATCACAAACATTCGATTAACTGGGTACAACTCATGTAAAGAGATTGAAGTGATATCGTGTTATCGGCATGATTAACCCTCCTCGTGCTCCGCTGTCACTTCCTTCTGTCCGGAGCGTTCGCTCATTATTACCTGCGCATCCCGAAACTCGACCACCACATTCTCACTGCTCCAGCGGGCCGCCATCTTCCTTCTTCCCCCACTGTCAACACACGTCACGTGATACCAATGACGCGTGACACCGTGTTTAGGAGCCTTGTTGGAAAAAAAAACAAATGGTATAAGCAAAGGATTTCTAGAAATAACGTTGCATGCAAGTAAACCACACAATTCAAATATTAAATTAATTTTGATGCAACAAAAATGTAAGTTCCATAAGATTGAGTAGTTGTAAAATGATGGACCCAAACATGCGCTTTCAACATAAGATTTAAACTTTACATGCGAGGTGAGGAACTCATGAACGCGTCGCGCATCCTTGGCCACGTGACTTAGTTGTGCCTTTTGATTGGTGGGTTCAGTTTCCGATATTGTATCCAAAATGGCGCCTGCCCTGGTGTCGCATGTTGTCGCAGACGCAGGAGCGTTTATAAAGAGAGCTCCGCTGCAGGTGAGTTTTTAATGAATACATTTGTCAGTAAACGTTTGGTTAGATGAATGTAAAAGGTCAGCCCATCCGGTGCCCGCTAACGAGAAAGGAGAGAAGCTGACGGCCGAAGAAAAGCTCCTCAGACCCCATCTGATGAACACCAGACATATTACATCTATATATTTTTTACATTCAATATTGTATATATAGTTAAACAAACGACGCAAACACCCCGGTGTTACACGTCAGTCCACTGCGACGTTACCATGGTGATGAGGTCTCACTGCCGTCCTGCTTCCTTATGAGGTCACCATGGCGGCCTGCGGTCTACTAGGTGTCCGGTCTCATGTCGCTGGACGGCACACGGGGACAATGTGCGTCTGTCTTCATCTCTTTCTGTTGTTGGTTCCTCGTGAAGTGTCTGCTGTGGTGTGTACGGGCAGTCTGGATCTCATGGGGTCTTAGTTACTGCAGTGTGTTAGTGGAGGTAGAGAGTGAAGATGTGAAGGCTCTCTGTGGTCCTGATGTCTTCAGAGACCTCCTCCCACCATTTAGGAGCAGGACAGCAAAGAGTGGAGATCTAGTCGAGTGTTTTGCTCTCAGTGAGGAGGAACAAGCAGTTTATCACATGCAGACGTAAATGAGGCTCCTCTCCAGTGTACAAACATATCAAATATATATATAATTTAGATACAAACACACCGCGCTCCCTTGAGAAAATCATATTGTCGTATTTATTGTTTATCACATGAGTGTGAAGGTTGGTTGATCTCCTCTTGTGGTTTGCAGGAGATCGGCAGCATCATCTACACGTTACGAGATGTGGTTAACGAGATCAGAGACAAACCCACCAGGAAGAGTTTGTCCTTCCTCCCGTACCAGCTGACCTTTAAGGAGCCGCAGCCCGAACACGTCAGACTAGGTAGACCATCCTCAACACGTCAGATCCTGACCACCTGAGGTAGGTACACTAACCCACAACACGTCAGGCCTAAACCGGAGTTCTTCTCATTGCAGTGACCGAGTTCTCGAAGAAGACCGGCGACTACCCGAGTTTATCAGCCACAGATATCAAAGTCTTGGCTCTGACGTACCAGCTGGAGCTCGAGCATGTCGGCTCCCAGCACCTGAGGAAGGAGCCGGCGGTGAAGGTACTGAAGGAACCTTCCTCCCGCTAAGACATCTTGTTAACGTCTTCAGCGGACGGAGCTTAGCGCCAACCCTGATTCAGCTCGTCTTCATTTAGTAACGTCATGTGTTTGTGTCTCAGGTAGATGTTCACAACACTCTGCGACACCCGGAGACTCCTGTTAACGTGGCAGGGTTCCACTTCCCCTCCAAGGTAGTGTCCCACAGAAACATGGAGAACTAGATCTAAAGTGTGAAGGGGACTCATTCTTCTTGACGTTCCTCCAGAAACACAAGGACACTTTGAAGGTCCAAGAGACCGAGACCTCAAGCAGGGAAGAAGAGTTCAACAGCTTCCAGTTCTGGAGAGAGCCGCTTCCCTCCATCGACAGCCAGCTGCTGGACCTCCTGGTGAGTCTCACCAGCACCAGAAGCTCCACTGGGTCTTTGCTCCTCAGTAGTCTCTACAGTTGGTAACTAAATGGAGATAAACCCAACACGCTGAAGTTACTGAAGACCCAAAACAACCTACAGGCTCTGAGCTCAAAGGAGCAGCTCTGGTTCAACGTTCCTTAGCGTTGGATGTAGATCTTTGTCTTGTGGCGGTTGAATGTCATTAACCTTTTATTTAGGGAGACGTTTGCCGACCAAAGCAATACTGAGTCAGATTTGTCTTCATCACTGAAGCTCCTCTAAACACCTCATTGTAAATGTAACATCTGGTGTCGTCGGGTGTTCCTCAAGGAACCTGTGAAGGATCTAAACCCGAACATCAAACAGAACCAGACAAAGACGTCTGACGATGACGAGTTCAACAGCTTCCAGTTCTGGAGAGAACCGCTGAGGTCCATCGAGGACTGCCTGCTGGATGTTCTGGTGAGATTACAGAGAGAAGCTTTAGGATCTGAGTCATGTGACCTTTCTACGGCGCTAAACCGACCAATCTTTTTTACAAGTAAACAGCTGCCTTCTTGTAGCCACCAAACGTTGTCTCATTCCTATAGTATATAATCTATATATATCTATATCTATATACACACTGATTATAAAACCAGATCTACACTGTTTACCGATTCATAATCAATCTGTAGACGTTGGACGAGGTCTCCACACCAGACAGCCGGTTGGACCCGTCTGTGCAGTCAGAGGACCAATCGGATGAAGACAAAGAGAACGAGCCTGAAGATGATGATGAAGAAGATGGAGGAGGAGGAGGGTGGATCACTCCTGGTAACATCAAACAGGTGACGATGGACTCTGCTGATTGGACGGCTCCTGCTGATGTCATAGTGGGATGCCTGACCACCGACTTTGCCATGCAGGTAACAGCTGTGAGGGCGGTCACCTGGAGGTCCTTCTGTTTGAGGCTCAACTGATGTCTTGAATCCTTTTGACCTTCTGTCATTTCAGAACGTTCTCATTCAGATTGGTCTTCATGTTCTGTCTGTTAACGGGATGCTGATCAAACAGGCCAGGAACTACATCCTGAGATGTCACGCCTGCTTCAGGTGAGTCCAGCTCTGCTGCTGTTGGTAGGAACCTGGTGACCAGAGGTCTAGATGTGGTTTACCTTTCAGGAGCACCAGCATCATGAACAAAGTCTTCTGTCCTCACTGCGGGAACCCGACTCTGAAGAAGCTGGCTGTGACTGTTGGAGAGGACGGAACCACCAAGATGCACTTCTCTAAGAACCCGAAGGTGCTGAACCCCAGAGGGCTGAGGGTGAGACGCACGCACCAAACCACCACCCCCCCACCCCCCAACCGCCCTGAGCTTCTTAACTCTTGTCCTTGTGTCCAGCACCCGCTGCCCCGGCCCCAGGGGGGGAAGCACAGCAACAACCCCCAGCTGGTGGAGGACCAGAGCTTCCCCCAGCAGAGGCTGTCCCGTAAAGCCCGTCAGAAGACGGACGTGTTCGACCCAGACTACGCCGCAGGGGCGTCGCCCTTCTCCCAGAACGACATCTACAGCCGGGCCGCCAACCTGCAGATCAGAGACGGGCAACAGGGCGGCGGCAGGAGGCGGAGGAACCCCAACGCCGCCCACAAGAAGTGTGTGAAGTGAGGTCCTTTAGAGAGGCACCGCTACATTGATACGGTTTATGTATCCTACTCCAAGAAATATGTCATGACTTCATCTCATTAAGATTTCATGAATCAAATAAATATCATGTAAAGACACATTTCTGACTGATGACCTTTAATCCCATAAAAGAACAAACGTGTACAACAGGAAACTGCTTCAAGAGGTGATTACTCGTTAGTTCATGTCGGTTTCCACGGTAACGTGATTCTGAGCGCACGTGGTTTGATAATGAACATAAGAGTCGGCCTCCCTTAGGACCATCACTTCAGAGACAAGTCCTCGTCCGCTCCTGTCTCTCCTGGTCCCCCCGTGGGCCCTGGGTCGGGCGTAAGGTCCTCAAAGCTCAGGCTCCTCAGTGGAGAGGTGACGTGGATCTCCGGCTCCCTCTGAGGCAGCAGGAAGTCCAGAGGCAGGAGGACGGCGGCGAGGTCGATGGAGCCCAAAGAGCCGCACCGGTGCAGCTGAGTGGGAGAGACTCCTGAAGGGACAGAGACACGGTTAGGACTTGTGTAGACCTCATCCTGTGGTAGCACACAGATCCACTGCTAACTATATCAGTTTAATATTTCATGATGGGCATCGGAGCGGAATCTGGATTAGTGACTCTCCAGATTTAAGATGCTCAGATTGAAGTTCTGAGCGACTCTGTATTCAGAGACCGAGACGAGCAGACGGACCGGGGGACACAGACAGACAGGCGGACTCCCTCACCGAGGACCAGGGCCAGCTGCTCTGGAGGAAACAGCAGCTTCAGGCAGCGGTTGAGGAAGGGCAGCAGCTGCTCGGCGTATGAAGAACAGAAGAGGACAAACAGCTGCTTCTCTCGGCTGCTGAAGGCCGACTCCTCGGCCCGGTGGAACGCCACGATCTGACGGCTCACCTGACGGGAGACAACGCCGACGGGTTATTGCACCGGCGCAGCAGAGCCACCCGCTCCCGACAGGAAGTAGTCATCTCACCGTGTTCAGGGCGTCCTGCAGGCAGGAGGCCACGTGGTGAGCCAGGCCCACGGGGCAGCAGAGCCGCAAGTCGTTGAAGGCCGTCAGCACGTTGTTGAGGAAGCAGGCCAGCGGCTGGAAGTCCAGTAGAACCATGGGGGGCTGCAGGGCTTCGGGCTGTGAGGCGGGGGCCACGTGGGGCCCGGTGCCCCCCAGCACCGAGGGCAGGGAGATCAGCGTGTAGAGGTTCATATCCTCTTGGAACTTGTCCGCCGCCTCCTGCACAGCTCGCCCAAACGTCTCCCCCGCCACTTGCTGGAACATCGGCGCCAGCTGGCCGCGGAAGTCGGCCCCCACCCTGCTGAAGGACAGGCCAAAGTACATGCACTGACCAAGCAGAGAGTCCAGGCGTCCCCCCACACCCCGCTGCAGGTCCCTCTCTAGAGTCTGCAGGAACTCCGCCACCTTCTGCACCACCCAACCGTGGAAGATGGCGGCCTCGTTGAGCGGCGCTTGTCCGTCAGCGGGGGGGGGTAGCGGGTCCTCGTCAGAGAAGATGGCTCGGTATTGCGTGATGATGTCGAACAGGTGGACCCGGCAGGCCTCGATGGTTTTGGTGATGTGGAAGTAGGGGTCGTCCTCTGGGACGGCGGCAAGGATGGACTGCAGCCAGGAGCCTCGGGCCTGCAGGAACTTAACTCTAAGCTCCGCCTCTGTGAACACGTCCATCCTCCGCAGGTAGCCAATCACACGCAGGCAGGCGGGGAGCTGAGAGTTACTGCGGAGCTGCTGCAGCAGCTGATTGAGCATCAGCTGTGCAGACTGGCGCACCTCACCGACGATGGCCTGGAGGACGAGAGGCAATGACGGGGTCCAACAGGAACTACTTCAGATGGTTTTAGTAAATAATCAATGGAATAAGCATTCAGTAGATTTGCTATACATTACATATTTTCTATAATAATTGTGTTTTATAATATGATGATTCTGCGTATTACTACATAATAAGAATACTGTGTATTGTCAGTATAATACAGCACTAGTCAGCTTGACAGCTAGCCTGCTTCACAGCATTGGTTGCCATGGTGACAGAGCTGACCTGCTGTCGAGTCATGGACCTGATTGAGTCTGTCCCGGACCTCACCTGGATGACGGGGAGGGACGAGTGCTTCTTCTCCAGCCGCTTGGCGTAGCCTGCCAGCTCCAGAGCTTCCTCGTAGTAGCCGTTACGCACGCAGGTGTCCATGAGCTGAGGGATCTCCAGGATCTCCAGGATCTCCGTGTGCCGGTTTAACGTGAGGCTGTTCATCCGCCGGCTGGCTCCGATCTGCTCCGCCTCCTTCATGAAGCCCCTGGAGACAAACAGGCCGATCAGAGAGGAAGCCCTAAACCCGAGGACCAAGAGGTCTGAGGATCGGAGGACCTCCACCACTGACCTGCATCTCTCCCTGAAGCCGGGCAGCTTGTCCAGCAGCAGGGACACGCTGCTCTCCACGCGGCCGAAGTCCCGGTAGATGTGCTCGGTGCAGTCTGCGGTTCTGATGAAGGTCTGGTAGTTGGAGAAAGCCAGCTCTCGGGTCTGCTGCAGGATCTGAGCCCGCTCCTCCGCCAGCCGCTCCGGCTCCCGGCTCAGCTTCTCCACCCCGAAGGAGCTGAGCTCGGACAGGTAGAAGGAGAAGTCCGGGTTGTCTCTCCAGCTGTCCGGGAAGCTGTCCTTAAAGATGGACGCCAGGATACTCTCATCCTCCACGTCTACCGCCGCCATGTTGGACCGCTCGGTTCTGCTGGAGGTTCTTCAGAGAGCCGGACTCATCGCAACGGGTCACGTAGGAGACTGTTTGACCGTAAAACGCGTTCGAAAAGATGATAAATGTTTATCTCAGCGAGTGGCAGACGGGTTGACAAACACTTCCGGGTTTGGTTTCCTGTTTCATCTTCTTCGCTGGTGTTATTGCTAGTAGATGTACGTTACCGCCACCAAGTGGACGAGAGCGGAACGAGACTGTGAATAAAGTTACTACGATAATGACCTGTAAAATGTACAATATATACACTGCTCAAACAATTAAAGGAACCCTTTATAAACACACCAGATCTCAATAGGATGTCTGTACGGATATGAAAGGTTTAACGTCTTAGGAACGTTTTTGATCTTTCAATGGAAATATAGTTTTAGCCCATACAGGACATCGTCTTATAAGGCTAGTCCATTTGGCCAAAATGTAATTTGTGCAACTCAAAATGCTTCTCAATAGCATGATTGACAGTGTGTCTTGTCTCATCTGTGAAAAGCACAGGGTGCCAGTGGTGGACATTCCAATTTGGGTATAGCAAATGCCGTTGGGGGGAGATTGTGCTGGGAGACACATCAAAGGAATTGGTCAAACTGTGGAACTTCTGTAGTGTGGAATATTCTAAACAAACTGAAGACCTGGTTCATAAATTAGACCAATTAATGAAATGCATGTAGTGTACACCCGTATACAGCTATGACTCTGAAACGTAATGAAGTTGTATTCAATGTTATGTAATTAACCAAATGCATGCATGTAATACTTGATGCCACCACTTCTATTGACCGAGAGAAATTCAAAATCCGAGTTACATTGAATGCACCATGCAGTGTAATACCTCATTGCACGACCATATTCCTTAAAAACTCTTAACTTGGACGCAGCAGGAGACGTCACGTGCGCAGGGGGCGTGGACACTCCCTTTCACACCTCTACTGACCTGTAGAAACACCTGTACGTACCCGACTACTCTGTGGCTTATTGATCGCAGAATCTGGTGGATCCTCAAATGAAATGTTCTTTTTAATAATATTAATAATAATAATACCTGCACTTTTTCAGATGTTCCAAGTTACTTTCGTTCCTTTCCTTTTATTAAATAATTTGATTTTAACTTTTCAATCCCAGATTTCCTTTGTCTTGCCGGAGTTTCTTGATTTTTTTAACACAACAGTAGGTTAAGAAATAGCTTTATGCTCTCAGTAGCGACGATGGCTCTAGCTAAAACAACACAAAGATCAATAGGGAGAAACTTGAATTGGCCTCCACATGCAAAACCTGTTTTGGGGTCGTCTCATTGTTGCCCCTCTGGTGCACCTGTTAATACCATCAACAAAAAATGTAGCTGAAACTGATTTACAACCCCCACTGCTTCATACTGATCACTATCACAGAAGTGCAATTAAGTTCATGGTAAAAGAAGTTACTTTCATTTTTTGAGCAGTGTACTTTTTGGAAGTAGTACAGTATGAATATAAGTCAGATATGTACATCTTAAAGATGAAGTATATGGATAGATCTAATTTGTGAATAAAATAGTAATTTAGAAAGTGTAGTTGTATTTTAGTACATCCATCCATCACTCTGCACACAGGTCTATCTCAGCCAACTTCGGGTACAACCCGGGTCACCAGCCAATCGCAGGGGTAACACAGAGACAAACAACCATTCACACACCTACGGGCAAGTTAGAGTCCCCAATCAACCTGATCCCCAGAGCAGGTCTCTGGACTGTGGGAGGAACCCGGAGAACCCGGAGAGAACCCACCCAGACACGGGGAGAACATGCAGTCTCCACACAGAGAGGCCACTGGGCGGAGTGGAACCAGGACCTTCTCGCTGTGAGGAGACGGTGAAAACCACCACACCACCGTGCCACCCGTGTTTAAGTACATAATTAAGTACATGTATTTGATGCTTGTAAAGAAAATGTAAATGTAATCGTATTCTTCACACAGCACGTGTTTCTATAGCACGAAAGAAGAGCTATAAACAACAGAACAGTTGTTTATTTCTCTCGTCGTTAATAAAGTTGTTTTTGAAAGTAAGTTTGTGACGTCACCGGAAGTGATCTCCGGCTTTTTCTTCAGTTGCTAAGCTGCAGGACAGGAACAGCCAGCCTGTCAACAAGTGACCATCAGCGGCGTGCAGGAGCGGATTCACGGGTGTCCGTTAACTGTTACCGGAAGACACATGAAGGTAAACGGACTGCGACGTGTCCTCCGTTGTAGCGGTTACAGCAGCTGAGCTAACTAGCTGAGCATTACTTAGCTAAAGCCCGCTAACAAGCTAACGTTAACTCTCGACAGTGACCAACACAACTACTACTACTACTACTACTACTACTACTACTACTACTAACGTTAAGTTACTACACAATAAGATTGTCCATCGTAGTAAAACTACTGTTACACATATATAGTCGTAGTCAAAGTATTACTACACTATACATATAGTTTGTTGTAGTCAAAGTACTACTACACTTATACATATAGTTTGTTGTAGTCAAAGTACTACTACACTATACATATAGTCTGTCGTAGTCAAAGTACTACTACACTATACATATAGTCTGTCGTAGTCAAAGTACTACTACACTATACATGTAGTCTGTCGTAGTCAAAGTACTACTACACTATACATATAGTCTGTCGTAGTCAAAGTACTACTACACTATACATATAGTTTGTTGTAGTCAAAGTACTACTACACTATACATATAGTTTGTTGTAGTCAAAGTACTACTACACTATACATATAGTCTGTCGTAGTCAAAGTACTACTACACTATACATATAGTTTGTTGTAGTCAAAGTACTACTACACTATACATATAGTTTGTCGTAGTCAAAGTACTACTACACTATACATATAGTCTGTCGTAGTCAAAGTACTACTACACTATACATATAGTTTGTTGTAGTCAAAGTACTACTACACTATACATATAGTTTGTTGTAGTCAAAGTACTACTACACTATACATATAGTCTGTCAGTCAAAGTACTACTACACTATACATATAGTCTGTCGTAGTCAAAGTACTACTACACTATACATGTAGTCTGTCGTAGTCAAAGTACTACTCACTATACATATAGTCTGTCGTAGTCAAAGTACTACTACACTATACATATATATACATAGAATGTCACATGACCTCTGTTATGTGTTCTGTTTCCTTGTAGGTTGTGGAAGATCAGTGCAGACTTTCATCAGTTAACTCCTGGCACCAGTAACCAGTGTGAGGACCAGTGAGACCAGTATGGCTGTGGCCAACACCACCAAGATCTCATGGAGACTGCGTAGGTTTTATGTTCAGATTGAGTTGTAATTTGTTGTCCCTCCTGTGTCTCACAGAACTAACTTTGTCCCCTCTGTGTTGCCGTACAGAGGAGTTTGAGGCTCATTCCAGCTCTGTTTCCTGTCTGGCTTTGGGGAGGAGCTCCGGCCGCCTGCTGGCCACCGGGGGCGGGGACTGCAGGGTGAACATCTGGGCCGTCAGCAAAGCCAACTGCATTATGGTGAGACCTTTCACAGGTCAGCTGCTGGTCAGCTGTCACATGACACACCTCACCTGTACTGATGAGATCTTATGTGTGTCCTCTCAGAGTTTGACTGGTCACAAGAACCCAGTGGAGTGTGTCCAGTTCAACACGTCAGAGGAGCAGGTGGTGGCCGGTTCTCAGTCTGGGTCCATACGAGTGTGGGACCTGGAGGCAGCTAAGAGTGAGACCCAGTTGGTTCTGTGTGTGTGAGGCTCAAGGGTTTTCCTCATTTTGTGTCTGTGACATCACAGCATGAAGTCCCACCCCCAGTGACATCACACCACATAGGCACACCCCCAGTGACATCACACCACATAGGCACACCCCCAGTGACATCACACCACATAGGCACACCCCCAGTGACATCACATCACATAGGCAATGTAGGCTCATGTTCAAAAATTCTCGTTTCTAAATCAAAATGGGTCATCTACGTGAATCGCAAAGATCCAGAGTTTTTTTCTGGGGGGGGGTCAACTGGCCGGCCAGCGTTTGAGAGAGTGAGACAAGGAGAAAGTGTCATATGATCTTTGCAATAAAACATCTTTGATGTGACGCGATCACGAGATCGCGTCACATCAAAGATCGCTGAACGAGATCAGCTTTGAGATCCTACAACGTCTTCATTTCCCTCCAGCGTTTCCCACTGATACTGGATTCTTATGATGATTATTACAATCCACAGAGCGTGGTTCTAAAACCTCGAGGGTTCCTCACACAACGTGGATGTGGTGGTGTTTGTTTTCTGTCTTCAGTTTTAAGGACTCTGATGGGACACAAATCCAGCATCACCAGTCTGGGCTTCCATCCTTTTGGAGACTTCCTCGCCTCCAGCTCCATGGACACCAACATCAAGGTGTGTGTGTGTGTGTGTGTGTGTGTGTGTGTGTGTGTGTGTGTGTGTGTCTGTGTCTGTGTGTGTGTGTGTATGTGCGTGTGTGTTTGTACTAATGGAATCTTTGTCCTCATCTGAACTGGACGGCTGGTCAGCTGTGGGACGTCCGGAGGAGAGGATACGTGTTCAGGTACAAGGTAAGAAGTGTGCGTGGATCCAGAACCAGGAAGCATCGGATAATGTGGATAGAAGGTGGAAATAATCCAAACTGTTGAACTCAACCTGTCCTGGTGGTCTTTCAGGGTCACACTGAGGCCGTGAGGAGTCTGGCCTTCAGTCCCGATGGAAAGTGGTTGGCTTCAGCCAGTGACGACTCTACCGTCAAGGTACGAACTATCCCAGCTGAGATTCTGAGGAGTCACGTGACACCCGTCAGAACGCTAGCAGGTTCTCTACGGTGTGTTTCACCGGGACCAAACCGGGGCTACGTGTCATTTAGCTGACGCTTTTATCCGCCCTGTCGACTCCACACGCCACCGCCGCCCCATAAGACGCCTCTGAAGTGATCAGATGAATTATCTGTTGATGTTGTCTCCGTCAGCTGTGGGACCTAACTCAGGGGAAGATGATCACAGAGTTTAAATCTCACACTGCTCCAGTCAACATCATCCAGTTTCACCCCAACGAGTACCTGCTGGCCTCGGGCAGCTCCGACAGGTACGAGCCACTCTCTCTTTTATTCTGCAGCAACGCGCTCAGTGTCCTCGGTGATAAACCAGCCTCATAGTTTCCTCTGTCTCTGTCCTCTTTGATAAATGCTGTCTTTTGCCGTCGGTTTTGTCTGCAGGACCATCAAGCTGTGGGATTTGGAGAAGTTCACCATGATTGGCTCGTTGGAAGGAGACACGACTCCAGTGAGGTCAGTTTTCCCTGTGCAGAGTGTGAGCAGGTTGGAGGTGTTCCAGGGAGGTGACCTCTGACCCTGGGTTCAGGTCTGTGTTCTTCAGCTCGGACGGATCCTGCCTGTACAGCGGGGCGACAGACTCCCTGAGGATCTTCGGCTGGGAGCCCGACCGCTGCTTCGACGTGGTGCCGGTGGGCTGGGGGAAGGTCTCGGACCTGGCGGTCTGCAACCAGCAGCTGGTGAGTATCTGTGGTTATTAATCATTGATTAGCTCACACAACACATCCTCCCTCATACCCCTCTGTCTGTTAGATCGGCGTGTCTCACCAGCTCTCCAGCGTGTCCTCCTACGTGGTGGATCTCAAGAGGGTGAAGAAGAACGGCGGTTCTGTGATCCGGGGAATCATCCAGGATAACCAGCCGCTGGCGGAGCCACGTGATGCTAAAGGATCTGCACTGCGCCGGAGTTATGAGAGACCCACCACCACCTGCAGCTCCCAGAGGTATGGCAGCCCTAAAGGTCCAAATCATCTGTTCTACAGCACCTAGCACTGTCCCATAGCTATAGCTTCTCGTGCATGCTCTTGATCAGCGTAGTGGAGGACTCCAGAAGGGCTCTGATGAACTGAGGAAAACCGT